GATCCCCCTGATCCACGGGGGACCGGGCCCCCGGAGGGGGGCGGGGACGGCGACAATCGAGCAAGTAAGCAAGCAATCAATCGATCAGTCAACACATATTATTTCAAGTACAACTACAACAACTCAGTGATTCGATCTGCCACATGAGTTCATCATGATGGCTTTCCCCTGCACGGGGTACTTATCTCATGCATCTGGAGCCCGAGATTCCCTTACGCAGGCCTCCCGCCCGAAATGTTTCGGCAACGCCCCTCACGAGGCACGTTACCATCTTCACTTCAGATATCTGGAGCTTCCTTTGGGCCGTGTTGGCGGCCTCTTGAGCCGAATTGGGTTTCTCTTGGGCCGTCCGAGGGCCTCTTGAGGGCGCCTTGGGAAGTTGATTGGCGCTTCTTTGGGGCCCCTTGTGGACATTCTGCGGGGGCCTTTTCGGAGCCCTCCTGGGGCTGCCTGGGAGCCCTCCAGGTGCGATGCCGAAGCGAGGGCTCCACTCTTGAGTAAGCAGCTATGAGGATCAAGCGGGAGCGTCGTTGTTGCAGGGGGGACGGTTTTGCGGTGCCAAGGCGCGATCGCCAGTCCTTTGTCACCCTAGTTGGGGGTTCCCGAGCGAAGTGAACCCCACCCTCCCCCTCAGAAATCGTGGGGGGTAATTAGAGGTAGGGTTCGCATGTGGCCCCCTACTCAGTAATAGGTGAAGGACTATCAGGCGGAAGTGCTGATCTTGTTTCAGGGCTGGCTTTCGGCGGCGAACACGAGCGCCAGTCATGAGTCAAAAGCGAGGAACTCTCGAGCGGAAGCGTCGTTGCTGCAGGAGGGCCGTCTGGCGGACCCACGGGCGGAACGGAATCCCTGTGCAAAAACAAGGTATCGAGCGGAAGCGCTAGCTTGTCGGGGGGACGGCTTTCGGCGACGAGCTAGAGCTCCAGTCTTGGGTAAAAAGTGAGGAAGTATCGTCCGGCAGCGTCGTTATTGTGGGGGGTCAGCTTGCGGTTCCAAGGCGAGAACGCCACTCTTGGGCAAACGGCGGGGAAGAATAGAGCGGGAGCGTTGGCTTTGTTGCAGGGGCGGTTATTTGTGGCTAGCAAGGCTACTGCTCTTGAGCTGAATGCGAGCGAGGACGGGAGCGTAGTTGTTGTAGGGGGGCCGGGTTGGACCCAAGGAGCGAACGCCTTTCAGAGCAAAAAGCGAGGAAGTATCGATCGGGAGCGCTGGGCTTGCTGGGGGGCCAGTTTTCGGCCGCGTGCAAGCGCATTGGCACTGAGTGAAAAGCGAGGACGTATCGAGCGTGAGCGTTGTTGTTGTCAACCCCGAAACGCTTGAGCGTGAGCCTCAAGTTTTGGAGGGAATGCAGCCGGCGCCGAGGCGAGAACGACAGATTGCACTGAGGAGACCCAGCAATATTCTGTGTTTAGCAATAAATATCCAAGAACCCGCAACGCGCCGCGCCCCCCGCTCCAACAACGCACCCAGGGGCAGTGAATGACTGCTCGGTCTTCCTCACTCGGGTGTACATTCGACGCGGGATCCCTTCCTGTCCGGTCCAGGCTCGAGGGTCGTAAGTGCAAGGTTCTCTTGCGTTCTCCTGCCTCGGGATGCTCTCCAGCAGCTGCGCCTCGGCCGACAGTGTTCTGGGGGGGCCCAAGTCGTTCCGAACGGCCGCCGAGGACCCTGAACGAGGGGCTTGATGGAACCCTCCTTCTTTGCCAAGTCGATCAGGGAATTGCCTGCTGCTCGGTTCTCCAGAGGGTCTCACGGCCGTCTTCTCTGCGAGCCTGCACTCACCGGACCTGGTCCCAGGACGTTTCCGCCATATGGGGTCAGGTTGGTGGTAATGAGGGGTGGCCCCAGTGGGGGGTGCTGAAGAGGGCCCTAACGGGGCCCTTTAGGGCCCTCTTGGAGCCAGCAGGGGCCAAGAATGTGCCCCAGAGGCAGAGGGCCCTTCAGGGCCCTTCCCTTCACGCCCCACTCGGGTCACCCCCCATCATCGCCCACCCGGTGGTGTTCTGCCCACCTCCCCAGCAGTGCTTAAAGTTCGACCCGGGGTTCCCCCCCACCCTCGGGGCCCCCTCCCTCGGGGCCCCGTCGGAGCGACGCCAGACACCGCGCTCGACGTCCCGCGGAAAAGATCGCGCCTGAGCGCCCGCGCTGCCCAGGACGCGTTTTTGTTCCGCCCTGGCGGCTGGCGTAGGCCACCGCGTCAGGTCTCCATGTCACCTCGCGTACAGTGGGGGCTCGACCACAAGACACCTTCCCCAAGAAACCCCACCCCGAGACCCCAGGACGTGCATTGACTTCTGGTGTGGGAGCGTCACGCTTCCCATCGCAAAACCATCGAGACCCAAGAAACCCAGGGCACCCAGGAGTCAAGCAGGGCGTTTCTTGGCATGGGTCTGCACTGTAGGACCAGCTGCTTTTCATCGCTCATCTGGGAACCACGGACAGGCGCCCCACGGCGACCTCGTCGCCGAGGCGGCCCTGGCGCTGGTGGCAACGAGCGGAGGCCCCCTCGGGAGCGAAGAACGGCCTCCCCAGAGATGGCGAGGCGTTTTTGGTTGCAGGGTTTTCAGAACCCGCCATCTGGCTTTGCAATCTTCCCCTGAGATCCGGGCGTTGCAATTTTGTTTCACAATGGGTGGTTTTGCGTCGGTTCGTGTCCCGGGGCTCCGGCGCGAAACATGTCGCGCAAAGATGGGGGTTTGGGGCTCCAGTCATGATTTTCCACGATGCTAGATTTGTTTCTCTACCTCGGATCTCGAGGTCGGTACGATCGGGATGGTTCAGGGGTCTCACGTGTCAAGCTTGTATGCCCGCCAAGTGGCGGCCGCTTTGGGCACAGGCGGGTGAAAACTAGCCGGCGCTCGCGTCAGCACGTACAACCCACACGCCGCTTGGCGCGTGGGCAACAAATCAAGCTCAAGCTCAAGCTCAAGCAGTCGCAAGCCAAAGGGGGCGAGCGATGGGCTCTTGGGAACAAGGCCTGAACGGAAAGGATTGGGACGAATCTGGGTCGGTGTCGCTCTGGACGTCGTCCATTCGAGACAGAAGGCCGCCCTTCCCCAACAGCGGCCGATGTCGGTTTGGGATCTGATCTGCTGTCTGGGCACCGTGCCTGATTTGTCCGCGCCCTTTCCGGGGATGCCAGAATCTCAGATCCCCCCTCGGAGGAGGGGAGGAACGTCCCAGGAAGATGCAGGCCCGAAGTGACAACTCATGCGCATCGCGCCAGCGGCCGCGAGACAGAGAGAGAGAGAGAGAATGTGAGAGAGAAAGAGGGAGTGACAAAAAGAGAGGGACGTCGCGAGGCACACCAGCTCTCGCCGAGAGGATCGAGAGCGAATAATTGATATGCAACGCTCGACCCGAGGAAGGATAGGTTGCGTAGCCACACATGGACTCCCGAGACCCGCGCGGACGTCCTGGATCGACGCCGGACCTCCTCGGCGGCGCCTCCGGCGCCGCCCCCAAAGGCGTCCCGCGCGCGTCGATGCAAGAAGTCGGCGCGACGTCCGGAAGATGTACGGTGGAAGGAAACATTTAGTGGACCCTACCCCGCTCCCCAAAACTCAAAGTTGGCACGCGCGGGGAAGACTGCGGTCGAAGTGCAGCTCATTGAAACCGCCTCCGACATTGGTGACTGGGGGGGGCATTGACAGATCAATGCGGCATGACTGTCCGCTAATTTCTTCCAAGGCCTGTGTGTCCGGAAGCTCCTCCTTCGGAAGGCGGGGGTCGCCAGAGGTGCCCTTGGGCCAAGGTGAGCTCTGCGCTCCGTCTCGGAGGCCCCGGCGCCCTCCGGGCCGCCGCGCGAGGGGTCCTCTGGAGGCCGTGGGGGGCTTCCTCGAAAAGCCCGGGGGCACCTCGCGCCAGGGGCACTTCGAGCAAGACCCGAGGAAGAGACCTGGGGGCAGAGCTCGGGTCGGACAGGCCTCGGAAAAAAAAAATGCGAACACTCATGCCACATGCATCTGCGAGCGCCTCCCCCTCCCCCCAACGTTCAAAGTTGGCGGTGGGTCTGCTGAGTTGCACCTCGACCGCAGTCTCCCCCGCGCGTGCCAACTTTGAGTTCGGGGGGCAGGGGGGGTGTTCACTAATTGTTTCCCTCTACCGGATGACAGGGGGTGCTAGGGCTAAGTCGGGCACGTCCCTCTACAGGAGGAATGACAAGGAACTGGGAGCAGAAAAACAGTCAGGGGAGGGTGCGTCGACGGTTTTGTGAAATTGTTAGCAGTGTCTGAATGTGTTCTGGCTATGGCAATTCTTCGTCCGAGTTCCGCCCGCCGGAGGGCACGCCCGACCTAACGCTGGGGAACGGCGGGGTCTCTACAAGGCCCCGCCACCGGACGCCTCTCCTCGATCACATCGGCGCCTCCCGGCGCCGGGGGGCGCCGGGGACACCGGCCGTATGCGGGAGCTGCTTCGCGGACCTCCCGCTGGCTGCCCCCCACGCTGAGGGGCCTGTTTTCCACCACCACCACCACCAGCCCAAGTGGGAGGGGGAGGGGGTCCTCCTCCTCCTCCTCCTCCTCCTCCTCCTCCTCCTCCTCCTCCTCCTCCTCCTCCTCCTCCTCCTCCTCCTCCACTCCTCCTCCTCCTATAGATAACTCCTCCCTGTCGCACCCCGAGGCCAGTTTTTCGGGCGGGCCGGGCGTTTCGCCTGAGACTTCCTCACCATTTACGATTCTGAAGCTTAAAAAGCGGCAGCAGTTTCACAAATGGAGGGCGGGTGGTTTTCAAAATGCGGCTCTCGCTTTAGCGCCGCGCACACTCTTTGTAAAAAGTTGCAAGTGCTTCACGAATTGAGGGCGGGTGGTTTTCAAAATATGATTTTCGCCGTAGCGCCGCGCACATTCGCGTTTAAACATTCGCAAGAGTTTCACGGATTGAGGGCGGCTCCTTTTCAAAACGTGGCTCTCGACTCAGCGCCGCGCAGATTCGTTTTAAACTGTTGCCAGAGTTTCGTGGATTGAGGGCGGTTCCTTTTCAAATTGTGGCTGTCGCCTTAGCGCCGCGAACACTCGTTTTTAAAGTTTGCAAGAGCTTCACGGATTCCCATGATCACCGTACCAGAAATGGGGTTTTAGAAGGATTCAGGATTATGCGGGCGCGACAGTTATGTTGATTCGCTGTGTGTAAGGGCCAAAATGGCGTCATGACACGATTCTGGATCGCCAAAACGCAGCAGTCAGGTTGATACGCGGCGTTGAAATCCCGAGAAGAATGTTTTGGCACGCTTCAGGATCTTCAAATGGTTGTCTTCCAACGAGGCAGCGCCCTCAATGGAAATGAACCGCTGTAAGGGCCTATGAAGAGGGAGCTTGGAGGGAGGGTTAAATCCAACATCGTTGATGACTCCTGGGCTTCCACTGGTCCTCCTCCTCCTCCTCCTCCTTTCCTCCTCCTCCTCCTCCTCCTCCTCCTCCTTCTCCTCTCCCTCGTCCTCCACCTCCTCCCCCCCTCCAACTTATGGTGGTGGTGGTGGTGGTGGTGGTAGAAAACAGGCCCATCACACCCGTTCCTCCACCTCCTCCCCCCCTCCAACTTATGGTGGTGGTGGTGGTGGTGGAAAGCAGGCCCATCACACCCGTTTCTGTGCCGCGCGGAGCAGGGCATCGGAGAATGTGGGGTCGGATGAGAGATAGGAGGAGGGAGCGGCGGAGGCGAAGGGGCAGGAGGAGGGAGCAGGGGCTGGAGGAGAGGGTGGTGCAGGAGCAAGAGGCGGCAGAGGTCGGAGGAGGGGCTGGCGGAGGGATCGGAGGAGGCCTGGCGCCCAGTCGCCCTCCGCAGAGGTCGACTTCAGGTAAGAGGGACCCTTCGCAGGAGTGACCTTTGGTGCAGGCCCACGGGGGTCCCCCGATCGCCAGACGCGATGCGGTAGTAGCGTCTTGCGCGCTCGGGGATGCCCCCCCTCCTGCCCGCGGCCCCCCGAAAGCCGCACACCGAAGGTCACTCTTGCCTGGCTTAGCTGTCCTGAGACGCCCGTTTTGAATCGCAACATGCTCACTCGACGTGTTGGCCCGCGCTTTGGCGAGCGTAAGTGCCGCGCCAGACCTGCGCTTTCAATCTGCGCGTGGAGCTTCGTGTCAACACGCTACGGGTTGCGCGTTGCTTATCGGGGCGGCTAAGCGAGGGGAGCGAGCAGAGACACGAGCATGAAAACTCTGAGGTCCGCGCGGATCTCCGAGTTGTTATGCTTACGTCAGTGTTCGTTCCCCTCTGACCAGGTTGCCCAGGAGCATTGTCACGCGCAGCCCAAGAGGCTCCGAGGCCATCGCGGCCTGGCGCTCCCAGAGCGGCCTCCGGCTCCTGGGCCGCCTTGCCGGCGCCTGCGGGGCGCAGCGGGGCCGGGGCGCGGCCGTGGAGCGCGCGCTGGGTGCCCTCGTCGAGGAGGGCTGCAGGCCAGAGGGGGCCGGCGTTCCTCCTCCTCCTCCTCCTCCTCCTCCTCCTCCTTCTCCTCCTCCTCCTCCATCTCCTCCTCCTCCTCCTCCTCCTCCTCCTTCTCCATTCCTTTTCCTTGTAGGTAACTCTTCCCTGTCGCACCCCGAGGCCAGTTTTTCGGGCGGGCCGGGCGTTTCGCTTGAGACTTCCTCACCATTTAGGATTCCGAAGCTTTGAAGTGACAGCAGCTTCACAGATGGAGGGCGGGTGGTTTTCAAAATGCGGCTCTCGCTTTAGCGCCGCGCACACTCTTTGTAAAAAATTGCAAGGGCTTCACGGATTGAGGGCGGGTGGTTTTCAAAATGTGGTTCTCGCCGTAGCGCCGCGCACATTCGCTTTAAACATGTGCAACGGCTTCACGGATTGAGGGTGGGTGGTTTGCAAAATGTGGCTCTCGCCCTAGCGCCGCGCACATTCATTGTAAGCATTTGCAAGAACTTCACGGATTCAGGGCGGGTGGTTTTCAAAATGCGGCTGTCGCCGTAGCGCCGCGCACATTTTTTAACATTGCAAGAGCTTCACGGATTGAGGGCAGGTGGTTTTCAAAATGTGTCTCTCGCCGTAGCGCCGCGCACATTCGTTGAAGAAAATGGAAGAGTTTCACGGATTGAGGGCGGGTGGTTTTCAAAATGTGGCTCTCGCCGTAGCGCCGCGCACATTCTTTTTGAAACATTGCAAGAGCTTCACGGATTGAGGGCGGTTCCTTTTCATAATGTGGCTCTCAACGTACACAGAATGGTGTTTTAGAAGGAATCAGGATTATGCGGGCACAGCAGTAATCTTGATTCGCTGCGCTGGAATCAAAACATGGCGTTAGGGCGCGTTTCTGAATCGCCGAAACTCAGCAGTCAGGTTGATACGTGGCGTTGGAATCCAGAGAACACTGTTTTCGAACGCTTCAGGATCTTCAAATGGTTGTCTTCCAGCGAGGCAGTTCCCTCAATGGAAATGAGCCGTTGTAGGGGCCTATGAAGAGGGAGCTTGGAGGGAAGGGTAAGTCCAACATCGTTGATGACTCTTGGGTTTCCACTGGTCCTCGTCCTCCTCCTCCCCCTCCTCCTCCTC